AGTTCTATCACATTAATCTTCTCCGGAAGTACAGCGAGAGAGAGGTAAGTTACACTCCGACCCTCTTGACACTTTCTGTAGCTATGGAGGTGGAAGGTGGAGAAGCCACAGCTGTGGAATATCCTCTTCACCCCAGGGAGACCTATAAAGATATAGAGGTTAACCCAACTCTCTCTGTCTCCCAGAAACAAGTTATAGAGCAACTCTTGTCAGAGTACAACTCTGTCCTGACAGAGAAGCCAGGGCGCACTTCATTAATGGAGTATGAATCGACATTGGTTCCTGTTGAACCTTTTTGTCAATTCCCTGTTCAAATCCCTCTTTCTAAAGAGGAATGGAGTAAACCTCCAGACCGTCAGGAGGACCAGAACGTGGAGAATTTGAAATTCACACCAGGGTTCCTTCCTGTGTTTGTTGGAGCACATAGTGACGAGGGGAGGATAGTCCTTCCGAACCTCGCGAAGGATCAGACGGGAGGGATCATACCCCACATTCCTCGACGACCTTCCTGTGTGACTACTGATGTAGGAGACACACCGGTAGAATACCTGAAGACAGGAGTACCAGGAAGGAGTGTGGGTTTATTTAGCCAGCCCGATCAGGGGGTTCGGTCTGAACCTACATCTTTGCATGTACCTGGCAGGAATAAGTGATACATGGATGGAATCATCAGAAGCTTAGGTCCACAGGGACATCTACTGATTCTGTATGAGATTCCTTTTTGATTTAGTGGTGTAAAGCGGTCAGAGGTTCCTCTATATTCACATGAATTGTCATTATTGTTTATATTTCATCTGTCTCTGAGAGGTTGGTTTGGTCAACCCTTTGGTTAAGAGCAGATGTTTTGAGCCGTCACCCCTTGTCTGATGATTCACAGACTGAAGGTGGTGAGCAGGCTAAGAGTGGTGAGTCCATGGCTGTGTAGGTTGGTTGATCACTGTTCATTCGCGTAGTACGCTCTTGCTTTGTGGGGGGGGGGGGGGTACTGTCGTGAAGTGAGCAGCCAACCCTACACAATGGACGAGTCTTGGCTCTGACTGCCCTCGCACTCAGTCAAATTTCAAACTTAAACCCGTCCGGAAGGGTATATATTCCCTTATATTGATATATACCTTTATCTGGTAATATATTCATTTCTAGACCCTCTAAATGCTTTGATAAATTTTCATTTTCAAACTTGCAACTGTAAGTTGACGATTTCTGGTAATTTATTTAGAAATTCCTGTAAACCGGTTTACTCCTTGGGCAGGAATATAGGGGACTTCTTTCCTAGAGACGCTAAGTTTGATTTTGAAAAAACATTCTTTCGCCTGATCCCAAAGTGTCAAGACGTGTATACAGTCTATGTAGAAATTGGCGCATTCAAAGTTGCATTTCTATCTTGGAAGATTTCCTAAGCTTGGGATGATACCTCCTTAGAGATCAGGCAGACGAATCACAGTCCAGCCAACAACCACCAACCCATACCATTCTGTGCACCAAGCAGATCCAAAAGTCCTGTATACTGTGCCACTACCTCAACATGGCAAGAGCTTGTTTGTGAGTTCCAGGACCAGTGGACAATTGCAGACACCTATGTCATCAATCCAGAGAACCAGTCTTCAAGAGCTTTGTTGGGCTCTTATGCAGTTGTTGTGTCATCACCTGTGAGACCGGCAGTGGGCATCACAGTCTCCAAGAGCTTTGGTGGGCTCCTGTGCAGTTCCTGTGTCCTAGCTCATGACAGTCAGCTGGTACAAGATCAAATCAAGGCCCAACTACTGATTGAGTCAACTACAGTCGAATCACCATGGACTGAGGGGAGCATTGACCTACGAACTGGGCTAAGTGATCTATTATTCACATTACATGCTCTCTTCCCACAGCACCTCATAAGTCCAATGATGAACTCATGTACTGTCAAAGAATTGAATCTGGCTGCTTCAATATCTGGGTTGTGTCATTGTTTCCTGAGCTCCATTCACTGAATTCTTGTTTATCTATTCATTATTATATGTATATATTGTACTGATTATATGCACAAATTTCATGGCTGACTTGGGTGTCCCTATTTCACCATTCTAACTGTCTAGCTCTGATGTTTGTGTGAGTAATAAATGTTATCTGTGTTAACATGGCTATGATGGTATACTATCATAACCTGGGGGCTACCTTTTTATAGTAGTGGGGGTGTCCAGCCAAGTGTGTCTAGGAATATTATATATTTTGTAGTGCCAAAACTTGAGTTGCCCTACTCCTGAAATAAGTTGAGCGTATATTGGCCACTGGGCATCCCTTAGACCAATACGAGCCAACGACTCAACATAATTATTTCAGAGTGCTGTTGGTTCTTAAGGAGAAATCTTTAAATCAGGCACGCGACAGGAGCGATATGTGACATCACGTCGGTCAGACAAGACGGTGCACCAATCCACTTTCTCAAGGCTGTGTTGATATTTTTCTCCATCGTCTCCACTGCAGCCATTGTCACTTCGTAGACTAGCAGCGGCCAGAGGAGCTTTGGGATCAACATGAATTGGAGACACCAGACCTTGAACTTCCCGATCAGCCTGCTACGCTCGATCGCGAGCAGGCCTTTAGCCAGTGACTCGTGTATTCGCCGGACCTCCGCACTATCAGATAACTTCGAATCGTAAACGCGACCAAGGCTCTTCACCGGTTTCTCTAGAACAGTGGGGATCTTATTTCTTGCAACCGTAAAACTGGTTGCCGCAACCTTGCCTTTAAGGATTGACAAGACTCCTCGACTTCTGTGGTTTGAATTGCATCCAGCTCCATTGGACCACCGAGTCCAATCTTTCCAGAATCGTGCGGGCAGATTCCTCGCTGCCCGTGATTATAGTCGTGTCATCCATAAATGCACGTTGTGGCGGCATCTAGTGATCCCCAATTTGAAGGCCCTGTCCGTAGCCAGCCGCCCCGTCTAACATGATCTGCATGGCCACGACGAACAGTATTGGTGAGATCGTACACCCCATAGCTATCCCAACTTGTAGCTCAGTCCACCTCGTGGTAAACGTCGAGGTAGAGAAGCGCAAAGCGAACTTAGAGAAATATTGCTCGATCATTTCGTTTATCTGTGCCGGTACGTGAAACATGCGAAGTGCCTGCCACAGTAGCCTATGGGAAACTGCCCCATAGGCGTTGGCTAGGTCCAACCATATAACGTGCAATTCGGTTATCTAATGCTTGGCCCTCTGGATAGACTCCCAAATCATGGTCGCGTGTTCAAGGCACCCAGGAACGCCCGGGATACCACACTTTTGAACACTCGTATTAATGTACTTATTCGCCATCAGATACTGTGTGAGCCGGCGAGCCATGACTGAGAAGAATATTTTACCCTCAACATTCAACAGCGAGATGGGCCTGAATTGGGAAAGACTCTTAGAGTCCTGCTCTTTGGGAATGTAGACCCCGTTCGCCTATTGCCACTCTGGCCATGTGTTTTCGGCTCCACGCTTGTCTTAACAAGCCGTGAAGTATTCGCACGGCCTTCTCCATTTATATCTAAAGATGGCCGTGAGTATTCGTAGGACTTTCGAACAACGCTTGTAAAGAACGTACGGAACACCATTCGGACCAGGAGCAGACTTGCCGCTGGCTCTTTTCTCAATTTCCTAAACTTCAGACCAAAGGGGAGGTATCACTTTAAATGGTACCTTCGGCAACTCAGGCTGCTTGAGGCCGCTAAGGATCTCTTGATTGTTATCGAGAGGCTCATTTCTCTTCTTGTCGGAGTACATTTTGCGTAAATGTGACTCAAGCTCCTTTTTACTGACAACCAGAGTCCCAGACTTCGGTTGCTCGAATAGACCTCAGACAAACTGGAACGGGTCCCTAAAGAATTTATCTCGCTCCCTTTTGGTTCTCCTTCTGTTGTTACAGAAACGCTCAGCGCGACAGAGGGCCCTGTGTCTGTTCTTTAAATGCAACCAGACTTCGTGCAACCCCTCCCGTTCGCTGCCTGTAGCGGCTTTGAACCGTTTTCTGAGAGCATTCTTGTCTGCCCGACACTTCAGAATGTCCCTGTCTCCTATAGCCCTTGTTACCGCCATAGTTTCCATTGTAAAGCTTCTAGTTGTAACAGCAAAGGCGCCATTCATCTCCTTGATGGTTAAAACTTGAGCTTACTGTGAAGGCCCATCCACTTCGCTTGCCCCTAATTACTGACCCATCTGTGTAAACTATAGCATCACCTTCATCTGTGTTTTCGTCAATCAGTGTTCTGACTAAAGTGTAGAGTCGGACGTGGTTTTTATTAACCAACACCTTCTCTAGATAAATAGAATCGGCCGTGTTATTAACCACGTCCATCTTTAGACTATAAAGCTACAGAACTTACTGACTGACTTTCTACCCCACCAGGACATTAAGGTTAGTTGCGTATCCTTTACAGGACGTTGCAGAACCAACCCCAACAGCCCCTGGCTGTTGTGTGGTTTTTCTAGGCAAATTTACGTCCAGTAGTTTGCCATTGCTTCCTGGACGGTCAGGTTTCTTGATACCACTGTCGAAACCAACGCAAGGCGCATGGCCCGCAGCAGGGATCGAACCCGGCCCCCGGCATTACGAAGCGTTCGCATCGACCACGGCCAGCTCCATATTTATTTACTGGAGCTGGCCGTGGCATCGACTAAGCCACAGAGCCGACCACCAGGTCATTACACAAGCGATAAACACCCGATGACACTTAGTGCCACCATGTGGGTGAGGATCACAGTGGAGAGGACCCAGAAACCGCGTTCAGCCTTTGGGCCATATTTATGGCCAGGCTATATGCGGCCCATGGCAAGAGCAAGAGTAGGGCTTCAAATAACGAAAAATTTCATCCTAAACAGGACGAGAAATATATAGATAGCAAGCTACAAAATGGCGTGTATTATTGTATTAACCCAACTGGGGGTTTCCCGAATTCCTTATTTTCCTCGCGCTGCCCAAACAAGTTTCGGATTTCCCCGGAAAGACGTGGACGACATTTGTCGCTTCGCTATTGCAAAATGGCGTCGGAAGTGGAGCGAGCACAGTCTGCTAAACCTGGAGGTGACACTATCTTTGGTAAAATTATTCGGCGTGAGATACCAGCAGATTTACTTCACGAAGATGATCAGGTAATCATTTATGTATCAGAGCTTCGACAAATGAGATTTATGTATACACATATTATTCTTGTGTGATTAGTGCCTAATTTGGAAATCAACGAAAACGGAAAACTCTAGACACAAAATTACGTAAAAAAAAAAAAAGCATTACGATTACGATAATTATTATTGTTAATTGTTAACAGTTTGTCACTTTATAATGCCCAAGCCCCGTGGTTCCCCTTTCTTTTCAGTCTTCTCTAAATGAAGTTGATTTGCACTCTCTTCTCACTGACTGAATGGATGGATCTCTGTTTTGAGCCAGTTGAAGGTGACGATAAAATACAGCAGATATGAATGTAAATATTGTGAAGGAAATGTTTTGGAGCTAGAGAAGCATGGGGCGTTGTTCACATTTTAACCCTTTGAAGACGAAGCTTGGAGTTTGCCAAGAAGAGGGTTTCTCTTAGTTTACACCCCCCCCCATATATATATATATATATATATATATATATATATATATATATATTTATTTGAAAAATAAAGTTTATAGAATATCTATATATATATATATATATATATATATAAAGCTTTTAATTAAAATATATAAAACTATGTGTATTCGTGTAGCTTTTATTGAATGAACAAACACATTCGTGTAGGAAATTGAATGAACAAACACATCTTTATGAATCACACTGACATGTCAACATTTATTTAATTAGCTATACAATTCCTGAGATGCCAGGAACCAAAAGTCTGCATATAATAAGCCAGATCAGTAAAACAGATGTGTACACAAAATTAAAGTTCTGGAACTAGACCAAAGTTCAGAAGTGGATGAACATTTAGAACGTTCCATTGAAGTCTACAGCTGGTGAATGAAAAGAAGAAGAATCGGTAAATAAGACACAGAGATTGTGTCAGTTCTGCAGATAATGTAAACATTAACTTTCTCAACAGTGTATTGCCTTCAACGACATCTCACCACAAGCTCCGGTGCACTTTCTTGTCGTGCCCAAAAAGCCGATCGTGAAGCTGTCAGATGCTGAAGATTCTGATGAACAGGTAGTTGGTTAGTTAGGTTATCATCATTGCATTGTCCATAGGTGCTCAGATCCTCCCCTCAATATGAACCCCAGTGTCCAGTGGCTAATAGTACCTGTTCTGGGATGATTAACAAGTCCTCTAATGTGCCTGGTGTGCCTCTTATTATTTGCTATGCTGATCTTAACTCTCAAGTCTACCATTCTGGCGAGTGATGGGGATTCATTGCCCCCAAAGTCCTCCACCCTACCCATTTCTCAGAGGGCATTAATAATGTCAGCATGATCCATAGGTTGACTGTCGGTAGGGATAGGGGAATCCAGCCAACCTATCAGCTCTTTCATTCCTATCAATACACGTGTGTCCGGGAACAAAAATAAAGGTTGACTCCACGCATAGTGGACTTCTGTAATGACCTAAGCCATTGCCTTTGCACCGAACCTGTCGCAAGACACTCCAATGATGATGAATACAGAGAACCTATATACTGTAGCAGCTTTATGTACTCGTATACAGAGTGGATGCAAATATCCATGAGTCATTCAAGGGGAACGTCCATTGCGGATACTCCATGAGTTTGTTTGCCTGCCTTACAGAGGGAAGCAAATAATAGTGGAGCCCAGGCATACATATCATAAAAAGCTAGCCGTGGTTTTGTATGCTATTACTCTCGCCTTGAGGCTTGCAAAGAGTACAATATGACATTTAAAAATCGGCTGTTGTAATCCAGCTTTAGATTTCCAATAGATGTACCAGTGAAAGTCATTAGAAGTAAAAGGTGGCTGGCTTTTCATTTTGACTACAGTTTTTAGGGACAGTTTTATTCGGTTAAATAAAAATTTTGTAGAACTGTTTTATTTAGTTGGTAAACATTGAAATTTAATTTGTTTGTCATTTAATATTTAGTTTTCTTTACTTAAAGGACTGTACATAACCTAGTGTTTTTCAACCTTTATAATGTTGCGACCCTTTAAAACAGCAGTTCTCAACCTGTGGGTCAAATGAGACTTTAACAGTGGTCGCCATAGATCATTGGAAAAAACATATTTACTGAAGTTATGAAGTAATAAGAAAATAATTTTATGTTTGGGGGTCGCCACCACATGAGGAACTGTATTAAAGGGTTGCGCCATTAGGAAGTTTGGTAACCCTCTTTCCCCCCTTCCTTTCCCCAGCCATAAAAATTATTTTTCTTGCTACTTTGTAAATATGTGTTTTCGGATGATCTTAGGCGACCCCTGTGGAAAGGTCATTTGAACCCCCAAAGGGGTAACGACCCACAGTTTGAGAACCGCTGACTTAATGCATGTTTGTAGTTTATTAATCATTGTTTTAGTTGTTCTCTATGTTTCTGCTCCATATAACAGTACTGATTTCTTCTTCTTCTTCTTTTCCTTCTTTGTGCCATTAGTTTTCTGATTTCTTTTTTTTTACAATTTTTTTTCACAGCTTCTGGGACACCTCCTGATAGTGGCCAGAAAAGTAGCTAAAGCGAAAGGTCTCCAGAACGGCTACCGTGTGACAATCAACGATGGACCTGATGGTGGTCAAGCTGTTTATCACATCCATGTCCATGTCATGGGTGGACGCCAGATGGACTGGCCTCCAGGCTGAGACTTCTTTTACTGACCATATAGCTGACTGACCTGTGTGTTTTTGCTAGACTGAGTTGTGAATCAGACGTGTGACTGCAGATTTAGTTTAAGTTCATTTTGATTTTAAAATCCTAGTTTGTGAAATAGCTAATAGACTGAAATGGTTGGGGCATATTGAGAGAATGTCAGATGACAGAGAAGTAAAAACTGTATACACAAGGGAGACGAATGCTCGTAGACGATGAGGCACACCAAGAAGACAGGAGAGATAATGTCCAGGCAGACCTGCAAACACTTGGTGTCACCAACTGGAAAGAGGCCAACCAGAGAGATGAATGGAGGCGGGTGATATCTGCAGCAATGAACCTCAAGGGCTCGGAATGCTGAAGAAGAAGTAGTTGAGTGATAAAAATTCAATATTTGTGAGACGTGTTTGTATGTTTTTGTTCACTTTTTCAATGAGGATCCTAGTTTATGGGGTGTATTCTTTCATAAGTGCCTTTTCAGTCACTTGTCATGAGCTATAAGGTTAACGGCATGTGCCATGCATTTTCTTTGCCTGCATCTTTTAGCCATTCATTGTTTATGTGTTCATGCAGTTTATCTTTATTATTTACTTGTCTGTTAACAATCCCCATTTATTGCATTGTTTGAGACGCTCCGTTTGATTTATTTGTGTGCCAAAATGCAATATCACAAGTACTGAGCCTGTATAGACAGCTAGGCCTTTCCAGCAAATCTAGAGTTGAGGTAAAGGTGCTGTTGTTTAATAGGACACAATTAAGAACACCAAATAATATTATAACTAGAATGTCACATCGCTGGAACCCACAGGGCCAGAACGATTTTGTAAGGACCTGAAAACACAGGAAAAGAGACTTGGAGACAGAGATGAATGATATAGGGAGGACAAGGAGTGAGCTACAGGAGATGGTAAAGGATAGGATAGTTTCTTGTGAGTTGATCAAGAACCTAGGCTCCAGTTGGAAATCTTCTTCTTCTATTTCTTCTTCTTTGTTTACCAGCTGTAAGCTCCGGTGGAAAGTCCAGGTTGTTCGTCCATTTGGACTTCTGACTTTGTGCCAGAGTTTTGCATCTACATCTGTCTTACTGGCTTATTTGTATGCATTTAATTGTTTCTGGCCACAAAGGCAGATACCCAGTGACTTTGATTGAAGTTCCCCAATTAGTTGACTCCTATGTCATCCTTGTTGGGGAGGCAGTGGGTCTATTCTTGTTTTCCCCACAATGGGGCCCATAACCTATTCGAGACAGTAGGGAATAAGAAGGAAAAAACACAGATATTGCTGTTATGTGTGCTGACAAAAATAGAACTCTGTGTCCATAAACTTTCAGTTATCTGAAACATTTCATAATTGTGTCTTTTACTGCTATACTTGTGTTATTTTATGTATTCCAAATGACGACCTTGAACATTTTCCTTTTGTAATGTGAAGACATTTGCAACTATACTTCTTTCCTTCTGTAATCATTGGAATTTTTTTTTTTTTCAATTAGAAATTTCTAGTAGCATCTTTGAACTGTTTATGGCTCATAAATTCTAGGCTGATTTATTTCCTATTATATCACCATCAGTTCTCGTTATGCCTAGTGGCACATGAGGCTTCAGAGAGGACTTTCCATGCTTTCCTGTCCTGTGCAATCTTCAGTGCAGTTTTCCATGTCAAAGATGCCGCACTCAGGTCACTTTCCATCGTTCGTCTCCATGTTGTTTTTGGGCGCCTCTGTTTTCTCTTTCCTGCTGGTGTCCATGTGAGAACTGTTTTGGCAGGTATATCAGAAGTCATTCTCATAACGTGGCCAAGCCATTTCCATCTTCTCTTGGTAACCATACTGTCTAAAGTTTCTTGGTTTGTGGCTTGAAGTAGTTTAGTGTTTGAGATTGTATCTGGCCAGAAAATTTTGATAATTCTACGTAGACATGTGTGGTGGAAGGTGGACAGCTTGTGTGCATCCTTTTTGTTCCAGCATTCCGCTCCATAAAGAAGAACTGGCAAAATGATGCTCTTGTAGAGTCAAAGTTTTGTTCCTCTGCAGTAATTGTTGGATTTCCAGATTTGCCTCATCCCTCCAAAAGCAGCTCTAGCTTTGTTCATTTTCCTATTATATGTTTAATCATTTTCTGTAGGTTTATTTTGTTCGAGTATAGGATTTTAACTTCAATTCATTAAATCCTTTTAAATCATTAAACTGAATATTGTTGTTATTTGTTACGCTTGGATGTTATCACAGGCTACAGTGAAGGTTACTTTCCACACCTCCAGGTTATTCGGCATATTGGGCTACACCTGTATTTCATAGACCAATCAGCACTCGGTGGGTGATGTGATCAGTTTCATGCTGGCTGTCTGTGCTTCCCTGGACTTTACCTGGTACCCATTTAAGGCTGGGTAGACCTGAGAGACAAGGTCGTTTTTGGAGAACAAAAAGTCCTTCTCCCTTTGTATTTGAACCAATGACCTTCTAGCTGCTACACCACGGCAGCGTTCTTTTTTCAAAGACAACAACGGTAACACTCCAGAGATCGACCACGCAGAATATGGACCACAGAAATATCAAACAACGGTAACACTCCAGAGATCGAACACGCAGAATATGGACCACAGAAATATCAGAGACACTGAAAGGTACTTTATAAGAAGCGAACAGTTGTTTATACCCTGACACCGTGAGGCGTTCCAGGAGTAGAGGAAAGAAAGAAGTAATATGAAATGCATAAATAAATCATTTTAAGAAAATTGTATGGCTTCTTCTTCTTTCTCACGTTCACTGGCTGTAAACTCCCACGGAAAGTTCTGGTTTTTTGTTCACCTCTGGGCTTTAGTCTTGTTCCAAAACCTGAGTGTTGCCTGCACATCCGTTTAACAGATCTGGCTTAGTTGAGTGCAGATTGTTGGTTCCTTCCCTCTCAGGCAGATGCTCTCTGACTTCAAAGGAAGTCCCGAATTACTGAACTCTTACGACATGATTGTTTTTCCCAAAATGGGGTCACGGAACACGTGGGGGAAATTGCATGGTTTGAGAGGGACATAGACAATTATTGGGGGGGGGGGGGGGGGGGGCCTAGGCTCCCTGGTTCCGGTGTGTGCATGAGTTGGGTAGGACAATAGGATTGGTGTGATTACGTTGGTTGTGCTGAATGACGAAACAATGCTCTTTACGTGTATCGACAAGGCACATAGTGATGATGATGACAATCAGAGACGTTCCGTGTTTCTAGGCAAACATTCCCAAGGCTACGATCGATTGCTGGTGGAAGAAATAAACTAAGATAAAGTAAAGGACCCTTTTCTAAACCTTGAGGCATATAGGGTTCGACCTAAATTTTATAGACTAATCGGCACTTTGTGGGAGCTGTAGTCGCCATCACGCCGGCCACCTTTACTTTCCAGGACTTTACGTGGTATCAATTTAAGGCTGGGTCGACCTGGGAGCCAATGTCATAAAAAAAAGTCCAACACAGTTTGGGTTTGAACCCACTACCTTCTGATCGACAGGCGAGTGTCTAGCCGCTAACCTATAAGTGCTCCGTTCTTCTTCTAACTCAAGTCTTGAGTCAGAAGAAGCTCAGCCACGGCCTTCTCTATTTATATATACAGCCGGACGTGGCTCAGCACAGTGCACAAGCTCTGTAACACCGGCGAGGATCCTGAAATTTTTTGGGTAGATTTTTATTCTAAATGTTGCGTTAGGCTACTCTTTTCGATTTCCAACTGCCAAGGGATTTTTTTTTTTTTACGTGCGCAACAATGCACACGGGCGTCCGATCTCACTACCAAGAGATCAGGAGAATTACTAGAAGACCAAATTTACGTGACAACAATCCCAGCCCTTTGGGGGGATTGAATCCGGGACCTCTAGCACTCGAGGCGCACACCATGCAGCTCCCTAGAAGAGTGTACCCGGCATCTACATCCTGTACTCTGTACCAGTGTTTCTCAACCTTCCTACTGCCGCGACCCTTTATACAGTTCTTCACGTTGTGGCGACCCCCAGCAATAAAATTATTTTCGTTGTTGCTGCACAACTTCAGTGGGTATGTGTTTTCTAATGGTCTTAGACGACCCTTGTGAAATGCTGGTTCGACCCACAAAAGGGTCGCGAATAGGCTAAGAACCGCTGCTCTGTACCAGTTGCTGCAGGAGACAGGTCATCTGCGGATCTGCTTGATGGGCCAGGGTGTTGATTATTGACTTCCAGTTTCCTCTTCCCGCGAAGTCGGATTACAACAGACTGCACAGATCTGTTCAGAAGGGGAGAAACAACCAGGCCTCGCCGTAGTTTATAGCCGGTAAACGAAAACAATCAACAAATGTTCCATGTCTGTCCTCGTTTACGGTAATCACGAAAGCTTTTTTTTTTTTTCTTTTTCGGTATAGGCTTTGGCACTCACCACAAAGTGCAGGAACAAGGTGCGGTACTCACCATAATGTGTCTATTACAGCAACGCTGAGAAAAAATTGATTCCGACTGTTGGTATTGCTCACCGTCAGAGAAAAAGTGCCGACTTTAAATCTTGTTTTGTTAACTTTCTGATTCCTATGTGGATTCCCAGGCCCTAGCTGGAAAAATTAGGGGGTTAAAACAGAGGGAGGGGACTCACTGCCACATAACAAGCATGAGAGATTAGGAGATCGAATGCTTTAGGCCTAACGGCGAACATGTTGCAGCCTAACTGTGAACCACAAAACAGCGTGCCAGCCAATCAGAAGGGAGAAAGGAAACTTTGTTTCGTAGTCAGACTTATATTACTTGTTTTTAAGTGCCCTCACAAAAGAAAGTCGCCTTGTTTATAAATGGCGTCCCGGGTGACAACAGGAACAGACTGCAGTTAATGGGTATTGGTGGTAGGTGGTATTTGGCTGCTGTATGTGTTGCATTAAAACCAATATTATGTTGTTCATCCCCTCATTACTTCTGTTTGTTATCCTTATTGACTTCACAGCACATCGGTCTGACCCGTGCTCTGCCCTACGATGCAGCAGGCATCTCAGTCTCTCTCTGCTCAACGTTCTCAGGAGTTGATTATTGATTGATTATCTTCTTTCTTTGCGCTGCAACTGGTTTTTACACGTTTGTCCTCATTTAACACCCATTTTCAACAGACAATTCATCGTCTTTGATTCCTTTGTCCCAACGTCTCTGGCACGCAGCTTATTCAGTACACTCTTCATACTTCTTCATCCACTAACGACTAACTACTAGTAGTACTAGTACTAGAGTCACGGCCAGTCTGTCGGCTCTTTCATTTTCCTTTCATTCCCGTGTATCCTGATGTCTGCAGCTAAGATAGTTTTTTAAGGCAGGAGTTCTGGATGCTGTCAACCCATTCTAGATTTAGTTTGCCAATTTGGATCTTCTAAAGCATACTCATCGAGTCGGTTCCACCAGCCATGCAAAGTACACATGACAGTTGTTATTTCCGTATTCTTGCTAGTAGTAGTTATACTGAATGCACGATTTTCTTCTTTTAATATCTTCTTACTCATCTGTGCAGTGTGTGCCCACCCAGAGTGCACCCCCCATGAATCACTGAGCATCTGTATAGATGATAACATCACCTTAAAGGCCAAGTTTACTCGTTGATGATGGCCCTCATTTTAGCATTAGTGGCTGTTTGTCTCCGTTTTCTGCATTATCTGCCCAGGGTGACTGTAAAATTATCTCAGTGTGCTCTTGCATTCTTTCTGGTGTTTCTGTCATTTCATCCATGAGCTTGACATATTCCACTGAGCATCTTTGGCTAATGGTGTCCTCTGCTTCTGCCATCCAGGACTGTCCCCACATAAGGCGCTTTAATCTTTGTTTGCCTAAAGGCAGTGAAGCGGAGGGTGTTTTATGTCAGCAGACCAGCCAGGTATGCCCTCACCTGAGCCATGTTGTCTCTAGTGACCATGTCTGGCAGGTGGAGGATCTATTACATGGTGTAATGGACAGACCAGAGCAAGTCCTTATTCTACGCCTTAGAACAGGACACAATTAACTTCGCAGCCACATGTACACAAAATGTAAAATCGACTAATCAACCATGTGTACGTGTGGACTGGCACTGAGACAACAGATCACGTCCTCCAAGGCTGTCCCTAATACAACATATCAAGACAAAACTTTAAAACAATGGTGCAAGTCAAACTTTACGGGTCGCTGAGTGAATTACAAAAGACAGTGAAGTTTAAATTAGAGACAACACTGCAGATATAGATAATCTATTTAAAGTGAATGAAGAAGAAGAAGATTACATGTGCCCACAAGGTCATGTTATTGCTTTGGTGTCACCTTTCCATCTTTCCAGTTATAGTGCTATGTTGTGCTATGGGGAGGCATGGGACTCACAGCCTTCTAATCCAAGCAGCTGGGCTTAAAAGCAGTAAATACACCAGAAGAGGTTCAATATAGAAATGATGGGACAGGATAGTTAACTTATTTCCCCGTGTGGGTTCCGGGGCACAATTGTGGGGAAAACAAGAATACAACCCACTACCTTCCCAGGAAGAATGTTGTAGGAGTCAACTAATTGGGGACTTCCTTTCAAGTCAGAGTGCATCTGCCTGAGAGGCAAGGAACAATCAGCTGCACACAAATAAACCAGTAAAATGGATGTACACGCAAAACTCGGGCCCTGGCACAAAGCGAAAGTCCAAATAGGCGAACAACCAGGAGTTTCTACTGAAACTTACAGCCGGTGAAAAAATAAGAAAAAGTTAACTTACTATTTTAAGTAAAAGAAGTTAACATAAAACTTGTCTGCGAAAAAAGCCAGCAAGAACAGTACATTATCTTTTGAAAGGCCAAGAAATATCAGATGCATTGTCTAGTACTGAAAGAGTCAATCAATTACTAAATACAATGACTGCCATTAAAAATCGCTATTGCTATCATCATGGTTTCTGCAGGTTAGGGTTTATTTTTGGCTTCAAACAGAAAACACAACCTTAACATAACATAACATAGCCCTTGACCGGTCGTGGAGGTGAATCGATGAAAGCACTAACACACAAAACCCACCATCTTTCTTTGTCTTCCACTTGATAAATAAGTGTATGAAAACTTACTCCTGTCCATCTCTTGATGTTGTCATTCTAGTTTTTTCTTTGACCTCCTCGTCTTCGACCACCCCCTAATGTTCCTTGAAGTACAGTCTTTGCAATCAAATCATGTCTCACCACGTGCCCAAACCAAGCTAGCTTCAACATTTCACCACTGCCAAGAGAAGCTACTATGTCCAGCAATTTTGTATGTTTTGTCTCTGCCAGATTTGTTAGTTTTGTGTTCTAAAAACTAATTCCTAAAATACAACCTTACTGAGGATTTGAAACTGGGTCTCCCACATGAGAGCCCCATGTCCTTAACCATTTAGCCAGTCGCACCTCGAATAAATGACTGAATGAATGAACTCTATTCTCACCCTAGAATCAGCAACAAAACATGTCTGCCGACAGTGAGGTCATAGATGAAGACCAAGGTGAAGGTGATGTTATTGTTCCTGTTATCCCTATAGTGGAGATTTCACAGAATGGACAACGGCGGTCAAGAATGGCTTGGGGAACTTCCGGTAACCAAACTGTCAAGTATGTTTGCATGCTGAATTATCTCTGATTCTTGTTTTTCTTTTTTGTTTATGGTATAATGTTCATTAAAAAAAATCCTGTTTTAATTAAAGTAGTTGAAGTAATTTACATATCTAGTTCGCATTTTTCATAAAAATCATGCTTAACACTCTTTACATCTTCAAAAACAATGTGGTCATGTAACAAGGCAATGGCCTGATTATTGTAAATTCTATCACACTTTTAAGGTTTTAATTAGAAGCCCCCTCATACATTAGTTGTGTTCAGAATTAGAAAACTGTTAGAAAAAAGTTCTTAGGATGTTCACAAGAGGTTGCTGTAGGCATTCAAACAAGTATGCCTCTCCTAGGAAAGTCATTGAACCTTCTTCTTCGCGGTCACCAGCTGTAAACTCTGGCAGGAAGTTCTGGTTGTTTATCCACTTCTGGACTGCAGTCCTTTTCCAAAACCTGAGTATTACGTGTGCATCCGTTTTACAGATCTGACTCATTTGTATGCAGACTGCTGGTTCCTTGCCTCTCAGGCAGATGCACTCTGACTTCGAAGGAAGCTTCCAATTTGTTGACTCTTACGACATGCTTTTGGGTAGGCAGTGGGTCTATTCTTGTTTTCCCTTAACAGGGCCCCGGAACCCAACAGGGAGTGCTCATTGAACCATTTGTTACTGCTGGCATGAAGTGGTTGGAAGTTCTGACATACTTTTCTTCACTTCCTCTTTCACCATTTGGGTGTCGAGGGAGATATATGGCATCAAAGGGATTCTCTCTCAGTAAAAGTAAAACCCTTTTCCACGCCTTTAAGCATATTGGTTATAAAGGGCTGGTCCTATATATTATAGATCAAACGGCACTTGGTGGATGATGTGGTCAGCTTCACACCAGTCACCTTTACTTCCCAGGACTATTCTCTCTAAATGGACAAACCATTTGATTTGCTGTTCTTATATGTCAGTTAGAATTGGTTCTATGCCAACTTTTCTTATGACTTCATTCCTGATTTAATCTTTTCTGGCCACCCCTGCGGCCCTTCTCAGGTATCTCATTTTTATGATTGCTAACTGACCTTTCTGGTTTATTCTGGGCATTGTGTGCATTTTTCAACTACCGGTGTCTTATCCAGTTACGACTTTAATCCTCAGGAGCCGCTGTAGTGTAGTGGCTAGACCAGTGGTTTTCATCCCCCCACCTCCCCAAATATATGGCAAGACCTATCCCTACCCACCCCCCCACATCCTTTCAATAAACATAGATGTGATTGAAAAAAAGGAGGTAGATAAACAAACTCTCAAATTAAAAGTCCTTGTTTTTTTTAAAATTATAAATAGTGTTAAAATTATTTTATTTATAATTAAACTGAGAAAAATGTTTGTATAACTGATTTTTATAAAAAAAAAAGTACATGCAGTGAATTTGAAATTTGCATATATTTCAAAATTTTTAAACATTGCTCCCCTTCCCTCTGCAAGTTGAAAACCATTGGGCTGCATGCTTACCTGTCAGTCCAAAAGTCTCGGGTTTCTATCAGCATCAGAGGGGATTCTTTTGTCCAAACTGACCTTCGCTAAACTCAGCCTAAAATGGGTACTAGATAATGTCCTGGGAAGTAAAGGCAGCAGCTTGATATTGACCACATCACCCAAGAGTGCTGGTTAGGTTATTAAAATATATGTCTTTCACTATATGCCTGATGGAATAGGTATTGGAGGTAAAGGCAGTTTTGTGTGATACAGACCACATCATCTTCCCAGTGTAGATTCATTCTGGGTTAAGCTGGGTAAAGATTCAACATCCCAGCACTCAGGACAAGCCCATACTTGCTCCGTCTCCCTCCTCAGCAGCCAGTGAATATTCTCCTTACTGATGATTCCCATTTTTAACTGGTTAACTGCCGCTCTGGCCTTTCCCCCCAAGTCTCACATGGTGCCCAGACACTTTCTGTGGGGCATCATTCTCCCCAGTGTAGACTGGACTCTGAAAATATGGTGATGAGACCATGTGCATCAAGATTTAAAAATTGATCTTTCTTTCTTTCTTTCTTTCTTTCTTTCTTTCTTTCTTTCTTTCTTTCTTTCTTTCTTTCTTTCTTTCTTTCTTTCTTTCTTTCTTTCTTTCTTTCTTTCTTTCTTTCTTTCTTTCTTTTTTTTTTTTTTTTTCTTTCTTTCTTTCTTTCTTTCTTTCTTTCTTTCTTTCTTTCTTTCTTTCTTTCTTTCTTTCTTTCTTTCTTTCTTTCTTTCTTTCTTTCTTTCTATCTTCCATCCTTCCTTCCTTCCTTCCTTCTTACTTTCTTTATTCCTTAATCATCATGACACAGTGTCAATGCAAAATGAAGGTACTTTGAAGCTGTTGACCTACATTTAAAACAAGGTGCCACAGAAATTCTGACATCACTGGATGAGCACTTGGTGACTTCCTGAAGGGAGACAATTATGAATCTCTGATGTTGACAGTTAATGATGATGATGTAAAATGTCAGGATCTGACATTTACTGATGACCTCATTTGGGTGGGCTTTTATGCACACTCAGCACCGAAATGTTTAACCAATAAAAAATTATCTGTTTGAGTCCTGAACAACTCATAATGCGTGAATCACTCTGTCTGCTGAATGCCATCTCTAGCGTTATTTTACACATATCTTCGTCATCATCCTTGTGCGGTGCAATTTTTCGTTATTTTAGATGATGAGAGAATCCCCTGGAACCAACTGCCACAGAGAGCTATGCTGAAGAAATATGATGGAGACAGGGCAATGGGGGACCATGCAGAAGTGGAATGACAGCATCAAAAGCAGCATTAGACAAAAGAGAGAGCACACAGAAGGTCTTTATTTCTCCCTAGCATTTTGATGAGGTACCTGGAGGAAGAGAAGAAGGAGAAGGAGTCTATGTCATAAAGAGTGAATTAAATTGATTTCACATTTTTCAGTTCTAACGGAAACAATGAGAACAGCAGTGAAGAAGATGACGAAAATGAAAATGATGGTGGTACATCTAGAAGATCTCATGCAGCGCCTCTTCCAAGGTACAAATCTGTCAACGGGAAACACAAAATTGATATGACTCCTCCAGATCAGAAACTCATTAGGTCTGAAGACTTAGCTAAAAAATTGGCTTCTGAAGGAAAGGTGAGACATTGATGTGTAACTTCAAGGAGTCTCTTAAGATTTCTTACATAGTAAAGATAAACATATCACCAACATCATTACATGTATAACTCCAGCGGCGCCTATATTAGTTCTTCAGCATTGGAGGACATGCATAGAGATGTGTTTTTAAAACAATGGTAGTCATGTTAAAAATTAAAATAAAAATTTAGTTGCATATCCTTTACAGGACGTTACAGAACCAACCTTAGCATTTTTTGTCTGTTGTGGTGTTTCTAGTCTGAACGGTCATCTCTCTCTACCACTGTCAAAACTAGTGCAAGACAAATTCTCCGCAGCTGGTATCAAACCTGGCACCCCGGTATTAGGAAGCTGCTCGCAACACCTAAGCCACAGACGCTGACACAATAAACAAAATTTTGTTTATTCAAAAGTGCCACCCCGGCTGTCATCAGAGGCTATAATATAACCTAAATAGTTTAACAAGGTTTTCTGAAATACACCTCAAATGATTCTCATCTAAATGGTGGTACTTTGTGTTACCAGGTGTTTATGGCTGATTGTGTGGTCATGGGGGTGTTTATGGCTGATTGTGTGGTCATGGGGGTGTTTATGGCTGATTGTGTGGTCATGGGGGTGTTTATGGCTCATTGTGTGGTCATGGGGGTGTTTATGGCTGATTGTGTGGTCATGGGGGTGTTTATGGCTGATGATGTGGTGCTTGTGGGGTGTTTATGGCTGATTGTGGTGGTCATGGGGGTGTTTATGGCTGATTCTGTGGTCATGGGGGTGTTTATGGCTGATTGTATGGTCATGGGGGTGTTTATGGCTGATTTTGTGGTCATGGGGTGTTTATGGCTGATTGTGTGGTCATGGGAGTGTTTATGGCTGATTGTATGGTCATGGGGGTGTTTATGACTGATTGTGTGGTCATGGGGGTGTTTATGGCTGATTGTGTGGTCATGGTGCGGTTGAACATCGGTCACTCGCTCACTCTAGCTTAATACCTTCTGTTTACTTTTTGTAAGAGACGGTAGTCATGTAGAGTATATTATGTAAATAAAAATGGCTTTCATTAAAAAGGTTTTTTCCCCTATGTATGGAAACTTTTGGGACACCTTGCATTTCTTTTGGTAGATTTTACGTTTGTACTGTACTTTTTGATTACATTTTGTACTTCTGCTGTTATTACTAGAAATTTCTCAGCAACATTTCTGCAACAAAACATTGCTGATCATCACATTGCATTTGTAACCATGAAATCTGTTATGAGAATAGAGATAAAGGTATTCACTAGAGCTGTTTAATGATTGTCTGAGACTCCATCCCTTCCTCCTTCATTCCTTTCTGTCATCCTTCCTTCATTTGTTCGTTCCTTCTTTTCTTCGTGGTTTTTTGGGGTGTTTATTTGTTTGTTTCTTTCTTTATTGACCTAATTCTGTTTATTTTCCCCGGTAATCTCTTCTCCCACACACCTGTTTTTAACTTTCAGACAGATAAAGCAATAGAGGAGTACATCAAATGTGTGGCCTACTCCAGAATTGTCTATGGCAAAAGACAGGAAAATACATATAACCTCCCCCTGGAAGACTTTGTGGCATAAGGAGTATAATTTATGGTCAAAATGGACAATAGGCACGGTCACTGTTTTTAGTTGTGACAAATGTGCTTCTAAAAAATGGTGGACATTGGATTTTCCTCCATTTTAAGACTGAAAGGATATAGTTTTGTCACCCAACTACTAAGTTGAGTGCATTGCACGACACTGTGTGCTGCATAATTTTTTAACTGTGACCAATGTGATGTTGTGAACTGTAGATCAAAAGAATGGTGCGTGGATTATTGCCACAGAACTGGTGGTGCCTTATGTGATTAAAATTGATCACATGTGCCACTACTGATCTGTTTGCAGCTGCTGCTTCCATCGATGACGAACTGCATGTGTAATGTCAGACTGTTTGTGTTAGCACTTCTGATGACTGCCTTTTGCTTTTAATGCATGTATATGCTAGTGGATATGCTAAGGCAGCAGACTGTTAAAATTTTTCCACAGCGGACACTGATAGACATTCTATGTGTTTTTTATTGGAACAGAAGCAGAGCAACTATAGGGTGACCCATTTGCTGTACAGCTGAAACTAAGATTACCAGATTTCCAGCAGTTGGAAACAAGAAGAAGAGAAGAAGAAGGATTAATTAATTTATTTCATTTTATTCAATTGTTACTCTACTATGCACCTGACAAGACACAGTGACAAATGCTAAATCATACATTGTATAGTCTATTGTCTACGTCTTCTTCTTTTTTTTTTTTTTTACAAGTTGATTTCTGTGTGTGCCTTGACTAAATGTCTCTTCTCAGTCGTCTTGAGTCTGAATGAAGCAATGATTGTTTTTTTTTTGCCTTGACTTAAGGTATTCTCTTAATGTTCCTGTTTGGCAGCTGTTCTAAGATATCTTATCTCTGTTATTATTTTCTGCCCATTTGGTTGTAATAATTCATGATTGACATTGGTAACATATTTATATCCAAACATAATTATCATGAGATTTGCTTTTGTAGATGGATGTCTTTCTGTGCACCATAAGTGTGGTTATTTGTCCCAGTACCTGATTTGCTTGGGTATTCAGTCACGTATATATTTCCTTGGTTCAGAAGTTATTTCAACTATTCCAGTATATGAATTGCTTTGGTCGACATAGGTTTCTTTCTATTTCTTTAGAACTGGTGTTGTAGGAGCAGCTGGCCAAATGCTTTAGGATATTGGGCTGTCATGTGAGAGATCCAGGTTCTAAAATTCTTGGTAACGTCATGGATTGTTTTCTGTCAGGGCAAAAATACATTCCTAACCTGCACAGGCTCTCAGGCTCAAAGACCTGACTACCTACACCATAAAAGTGATAAATCACACAGTTAATTGTCACAGTGCCTCATCATTATTTTATCACTCTTGACACCTTTTTTTATTTTGTTTTTGTAAACTTTCCATTTGGCAGCATATTATGTACAAGCGGAGTATCATGCAGACAATGCTCGCTCCATCATGCTCCATGGGAGCCACACAGCATCTTCGGTGGAGGAGAAGGCAGACTTGTTTCATGTTCTAATAAAGATATATCGTGTCATGGGGGAAGCCTGCACAGCCCTGAAGAAGTATCCTTACTGTAGTGAAAGTCTGTTGTCTTTTATATGGTCAGAATATTTCTACTTCTGCTTCCTCTTTTACCTCTTCATGTCTGTTTTGTCTTGTGAATATTGTCTTATGAACTTAGAATTAGGCATGATTTTTAATGAACATAATTAGTCACTTCTCAACTGTCATCTCTTCTTTACCTCCGTAATGCCGCTATCAATTAGTAACCATTTGGTGGTTGTTCAAAAAATGACGTCCACAAAGAACATTTTTATGCTTACAAAATGGAAGAAGTTACTCAGTACCAGATCCGGTTGACAAATTCACTTTATGTACATGGTTCTATGCAGTGACTAGCACTGAATTTTTCAGCTGGAGATGTATTTCCTCTTAGTTTTATATCTTTCTGCTTCTTGCTTTTCTAATCAGTATGATTTCCTAACTCTTTGAGTCCCAGGGAACGCAACACGCGCTAATTTGTTACAACCGTGCGGCCCAATCGACGTGTGACAAGTGAAGCATTTTAATCTACCACTGACTGGTCTTAAAACACGGACTGCTCAGTTTCAGCTTCCTTGTGAGTTCTTTGTGTCTGATATCAGGCGTGCTTATTTAGAAGCCCGGTTTAAAAGCTGAAAACATTGTACATTTGCGAAATTTGCCAAGTCACTAAGTGTTTGTTTAAAAAGCATATGGCCGCCAAGCAGTATTCTACATGCATGCCAACATAATTTATGGCTATAGAAGCCTCAAATTTAAATAAAGTACATGTTAATTAGATTTATCCGGTTAGATAGATAACCTTGCGAATTAGACGTGTTTCAGTCATTTATAGAGTCAAACTTTGATGAGGGATATGTCTAATGTGTACCTCACGCGAAGGTTACAATGATAGCAAAGTCAGCTGTGTGAAGTTTATATTTTACTTATATATTACTAAGTAGTTCATATTCATTTGTGATTCATTTTGGATCTATTTTAACCAGTTTTCTTTTAGTGCCATGGCACTGTTTATTTACTAATATTTAATTACTAACGCAATTATTTGTTGTAGCTGTATTCTATAATTATTCCTCAACAATCCCTGGTCACTTTGATGTCTAATATGTGTATGTTGTGCTGCAATGGAATTAGTAGGGTCTGTTTTAATGTGGTTTAAAAAAAAAAGTAAAGGACCCTTTTCCACGCCTTCAGGCGTATAGGGCATATAGGGCATATAGGGCTAGACCTATATTTTTATAGACAAATCTGTACTAGATGGGTGATGTGGTCAGCATCACGCCGACCACCTCTACTTCCTGGGACTGCACCCAGTACCCACTTAAGGTTAGGTCGACCTGGGAGCCAAGGTCATTTAAAAAAAAAAAAGTACGGCTCCTCCAGGGAGCGAACCCACTACCTTCCGATCCACGGCGATCGTCTAGCCGGTCCACTGTGGGGACTCCCTTTTAATGTGTTACAACGTGTGAAATAAAAAAATTGAATTACCACTCCCTTTGGCCTCTGATGCTAAACACCCTGGAACTCAAAGAGTTAAGAGAATGCTGTCTTTTGACCCTGTCACCCTGGTGACCTAAAAATACAATACCATTTACCTGTAATTTAGGTATTCCTGAAATAAATCTTTAAAAAAAAAATTTTAGACAGTTCATCCAAAAAATCATAATAGTTCTAATTATTGACCTAAAGAATAGTAAGTTCCACACATACTACAGAGAATCGTCATTAAGCCCCAAAGCAGTAAAGAATTTACTGGGTCACTTCTCTGTAAATCCAAAAATAAATATTTATTTATTATCGATCCTGTGACCCACTTGCAGGTTAACACTGTAACCAGTTGGACAAATTATTGCCTCATATTTTCTATTAATAAAACCATTTTGTTCGCAGAAAGACCTAACAATGTTTTTTTTTTTTTTTTTAATAGTAAAGGCAGTCATTCCTGGCCCTGTTGAACCTCTGTGCACGTGCAGGCGATGTCTGTACTATTTGCCAGGCTGTCGTGAAGAGGCCACTAGAGGAATCAGGAAAGTAACTCTCTCTGCTGCAAGTGTTCATATTGCAACTTACTGGGCATCGAGGTTAATTTGGTTGATATATTTCACTTGTCTCAGTTTAATTTCTTTCTACGACCCTCTTTTCATCTCAGTCTTTAAAAGCTTAATTTTTTTTTTATTTTTTATTTCTGTGATATATGACATGGTCTTCACTTTACCAGATCTCCAGCACTTCAGTGTGACATTCTTTTTGCTAGTTTGTTATCTGAGTTTCTTTGCCATGTAGCAAGATTAGATATATCTTCTTCTTCTTTTTCTTCTTCGTCTTCTTCTTCTTCTTCTTCTTCTTCTTCTTCTTCTTCTTCTTCTTCTTCTTCTTCTTCTTCTTCTTCTTCTTCTTCTTCTTCTTCTTCTTCTTCTTCTTCTTCTTCTTCTTCTTCTTCTTCTTCTTCTTCTTCTTCTCCACTCCTCCTCCTTCTTCTTCCCTTTTTTCCTCTTCCTCTTCTTATTTTTTCTTCTGCTTCTACATTCATCTTAAGAGGGTGATTTACAGCTAGGCTGTGATATCTGTGCTTTTTTTGACCTAACACATCCATTTTCATAGGATCTTTAATTAGCCACCTTTTACATCATGGTTTTTAGGGGGGGGGGGGGGGGGGGGGCATCAGAACTTTTCTCCCACAGAGGCCCCAAAACTCACACGATGAGAGCCTATATGCCTAGCATTTGTCTATAATAATTTTTAGTATTTTGTATATCTTTAGATATTAATGTCTCAGTATTTTGTGAATGTCATAATCCTTAATTCAGTAAAAGGTACAGTGATGCTGAACAAGCCCTACAGAAAGCCGACAGAATTTCTCAGGAGCGCAGCAAGCTCTCATGTGTGGCAGACAAAGAATGCAACCAGCTGGACATTTTACTTTATCAGGCCATGGCCAGGTAGGTCACGCAAACCAAGAACAAAATGATGAATAAATTTAAATAAGGTAATGAGAAGTCAACTAGAGGAAAGGAATGTAAAGTAAAATATAGCAAAATAAAGTATAGGATAGTAAAGTAAAGAGTAATAAATTATAGTAAAGTAAAGAATAGTAAACATTTGTAGTATGGTAAAACATTTACTCTGGTCAAGATGGCATGGCAAGTGGATGTTTTTATTTTGGCCAGCGTCTAACAGGAATAAGTTTTAGACATCCTAGAGTGGCAGTTGTGTTATACTAGTCTGAATGTGATAGTCTAATTCAAGTATGACTATTCTAGGAAGCTTGAAAACACTGTGACTGGTCCAGCAATTTGACTGGTTTATTTAGTGCTCATAGAAAAATGAAGAGATCTCAGGAATCAACTAGATTGAAAGGGACAATATACCACGAAAATATTAGAAACGCTGAATAGAGGCGAACAGAAGTGCCCAATCCAGAGGTCTCTTTCTGTCCTGATGCTGCAAGGCATTCCAGTCCAGGAGTAGAGAAATTAAGAAGAAGAAGAAAGAATATTAGTAAAGGAAAGCAAAGTCAAGGAGCTGTGCTAAGGTATCGAAGTGGTTAGGCACTTGCCTGGCAGCCATGAGGTGTTGGGTTTGAATTCGACTGGGATGCATTTTTTTTAATAATTGACCTTGGTTCCCAGGTCACCCCAGCCTGAAATGGGTGCCAGGAAATGTTATAGGAAGTAAAGACGGTCAACATAATATTGACCACATCAAGTATTGATTGGTCTATAAAACTGTGAGTCTGTTGTAATATGCCTGATAAACCACTGGCTTAAAAAGCGTTCTTTACTTACTTACAAATGTAAATTATCATTTAGTAATGTATAGTTAAGTAAACTATATAGTAAATTAAATATAGTAATGTATAATTAAGTAAACTATATCATCATCATCATCAGGTGCCTTGCCGACTGGCGTGGGCGATCATGCCTCTCCATAATCCACGATCTCCTGCAGCATGTATCAGTTCGTGTGCCGACACACCTCCATGCCATGCAACAAGACTGTCAGGAATCTTCTCTCGTTGTCTTCCTTTATCCCTCCTTCCACAGATTTTTCCAGTGGTCACAACATGTTCTATAATCTCTCTTCTCATAACATGGCCAAAAAATGATGACTGTCTCCTTCTGATGTCTGTGATAAGTTGTCTTTCAGAACCTCTTATTTGCTCTTTTTGGCTGTCCAGGGTATTCTAAGCATTCTTCTGTAAAAACACATCTCTGAGGTCCCAAGAAATTGTTTGGCCTGCCTACCAATTCTGCAGGATTCATAGCCATAAAAACTAAATAGTAAAGTAAATATTATAAAATATAGTATTGTATAGTTAAGGTAAACTATATTATAGTAAAGAAAGTATAGTAAATAAATGTTTACAAGAAGTTACTATACAGTTTCTATAGGATAAGGTAGTCTATTCATGTCGATGGATCAGTTTGTTTTCTGCAGGCTACTATCTAAAGGTTTTAAAAATCTCAGTCTAAGCGGCAGATCACTGATACCCCCCATCCCCTTCACGGGTTCAACTTCCAGAGAAGTTACAGTTAGGGTCCCTGTAATGAGTACAATAGCTGTGTGTAACCAGCAGGCCTATGCAGGTAAGGATTTGTCTCATACCAACCATCCTTAGTTGTCTCTTAGAGATGCAGAGGTGATGAACCACACATGGTGGTACACTAGTACCAGGGCACCAACTGTTTAACACCTGCCTGAACCACACATGGTGGTACACCAGGGCACCAACTGTTCAACACCTGCCTGAACCACACATGGTGGTACACCAGGGCACCAACTGTTCAACACCTGCCTGAACCACACATGGTGGTACACCAGGGCACCAACTGTTCAACACTTGCCTGAACCACACATGGTGGTACACCAGGGCACCAACTGTTCAACACTTGCCTGAACCACACATGGTGTTACACTAGTACCAGGGCACCAACTGTTCAACACCTGCCTGAACCACACATGGTGGTACACTACACCAGGGCACCAACTGTTTAACACCTGCCTGAACCACACATGGTGGTACACCAGTACCAGGGCACCAACTGTTCAACACCTGCCTGAACCACACATGGTGGTACACCAGGGCACCAACTGTTCAACACCTGCCTGAACCACACATGGTGGTACACCAGGGCACCAACTGTTCAACACTTGCCTGTTCAACACATGGTGTACCAGGGAACCAACTGGTTTAACACCTGCCTGTACACATGGTGGTCACCAGTGGCACCAACTGTTCAACACCTGCCTGAACCACACATGGTGGTACACCAGGGCACCAACTGTTCAACACCTGCCTGAACCACACATGGTGGTACTAGTACCAGGGCACCAACTGTTTAAACACCTGAACCCACATGGTGGTACACCAGGGCACCATGGTGGTACACCTGCCTGAACCACACAGTACACTGACAGGGCCCCAACTGTTCAACACATGGTGGTACACCAGGGCACCAACTTGTTCAACACCTGAACCACCATGGTGGTACACCAGGGCACCAACTGTTCAACACCTGCCTGAACCACACATGGTGGTACACCAGGGCACCAACTGTTCAACACCTGCCTGAACCACACATGGTGGTACACCAGGGCACCAACTGTTCAAACACTTGCTGAACCACACATGGTGGTACACCAGGGCACCAAACTGTTCAACACCTGCCTGAACCACACATGGTGGTACAACTGTTCAACACCGCCACCTGGTGGTACACTGTTCAACACCTGCCTGAACCACACATAGTGGTACACCAGAGCACCAACTGTAACACCAGGGCACACAATAGGAGTGTTACACCAGGGCACCAACTGTTGCTGCTGAACCACACATGGTGGTACACCAGGGCACCAACTGTTCAACACCTGCCTGAAAACCACACATGGTGGTAACACCACGGGCACCAACTGTTCAACACCTGCCTGAACCACACATGGTGGTACACCAGGGCACCAAACTGTTCAACACTTGCCTGAACCACACATGGTGGTACACCAGGGCACCAACTGTTTAACACTTGCCTGAACCACACATGTTGGTCTCACCAGGGCGCCAACTGTTTAACACCTGCATGAACAACACATGGTGGTTACACCAGTACCAGGGCCCCACCTGTTCAACACTGCCTGAACCACCATAGTGGTAAACCAGGCCCAACTATTTAACACCTGCCTGACACCACAAATGTGGTACACCAGGCAACAACTGGTTAAACACAACTGCATGAACCACACATAGGTGGCTACACAGGGCACCAACTGTTTAACACCTGCCTG